ACTCTTTCAGAAGAGTTAGCTAACTGACAAAATGTGCTGCTGGAACACATTTTCATGTGTAGGTAGCAATTCTTCTCTGCATCCCAGGGCTGGAATCCTGTGTGGGGAAAGCTGAACTGCTCAGTATAGTGTAAAAGACAGGCCTCATTAACTCTTGGACATCTTCTCATTTCTTGGTCATAAATCCTATTACCTTGTATTACAAACTCCCATAAAACTCACAGATAGAAGATAATTTATGCTCAGTGTACAGAAGCTAATGTTTCTGTACTCCTGAGAAGCACACAACCAGAAAATGAGAAAGTATGTATGTGAAACCTTAAGCCATTCATATCGAGCATGGCCAGCATGATAAACATGACTCTAAGGGCCCAATGCTCTTCAGACAGGGTATATTCTAATGGTAATTGATTTTACCAAAATTTCAAGCATAAAATGTATGGACTGTTGCATAAAATATCCTGCTTACAAAGAGTGATTACTCCTTATTAAGAATTCAGGCTTTCCTCCCTCTCTCCATTACATAAAGAAATATGATGGCTATTCAGTACAGAGATACTTTTTTTTTTCTTTCTTTTTTTTTTTTTTTTTAAATTTCAATCATCACATTAGGAAATGCTTCAGAGCAAGCATCATCTGGAATTCTTACACAGCTTCCCTACTTCTGACTCCTATTCTAATTAGTATTGCATGGCATACAAAAACTAAGAATCCTTGGAGTTTGTAAAATCAAAGGCAGCTCCACCTCTTATTTGTTTTTTCTCTGAAGCAATTTAAAGTCTTCTGACTTTGTCACTGATTTTAACTGCGTTGGTTATCTGTTCAAAGAAATATTTTGTTTTAGTGAAGACTCAGGAAAAGAAGCATTAAATTTGGGCTGTTTGTCATTATTTTTCCATTCCTGTTTGGACAAGAGAAAACTGTCAATTACAACTTCTGTAGTTACAGGCTGTGTTCTCACTGCTTGGGCCCTTCCACAGATGCACCTCATTTCATATCTGCTTTCCTTTCTTACAAACTTGTTTAGCAATTTGATTGGAATTCGTATATCTAATTTAGATACCTACAGTGTATACCTAGACCCCAGCCTGCCACCCAATTTCTCCACAGAATCCACGGAGACGTGGGGTGTAATTCTTCCCATGTTTTTTCTCTTCTCCACCTCTTTGCATAGTTTACCCTTATAGGTCAGAAATTGATACAAAGTAGTTTATCTCCTTGTAATTTTCCTCACTTTCCATGCCAAAATATTTTAATCAATGTATTTCAAAAACTTGCACTGTCTGTCCACCTCTTTCTCTAGTGATGCCTCAGTATTCAAAATGCCAATTACCCTCAGTACCTGGATAGTTTTACTGGCTGATGGAAAGAGGAATTGCTTACCTGGTCCTCCTTGCTTGGTAGCCTGCAGATCAGCTATTGTCCTTGCTGTCCTACTCTACCACGCTGAAGAATTTTAGCAAGTTTATAAGCCTGTTTCCTACAACACTGCAGACCCTTTACAAGTGTGTTAAATACTGATGTATTTCTTCTGCTGTACCCCTCTATATCAACATTGTAGTCATGCGAAATAACTCTCAAAGCAGTTACTTAATAGATTTTATGATGTATTTAGATATCTACTTACAGAGTCCTCCTCTTAGTTTCTGCATTACTAATCAAAATTCAGCAGCTTGACTTGTTATTCCCCTTTGTATCCTTCCCAGGGCTGTTATGGGATTACCAGTTTATCTGCTCTATCCAGGTTATCTATTCCTCTGCTCCTTGAATTTATCTACCCTAACCTCTAGCCTCTGCCTAGGTACACATGATCGAGAACCAACATTAGTCTTCCACCAGAGTGTGAATGGAAGGCTAATGTTGTTTTGAAGCAAATACATGGTTATATTTTGCTCTTGAATTTCATCCAAAGAACCCAACAAAGATCAGATTCCTCTTCCCCAAGAAAGGTTTCAGATCTACATTTCATAGAAAAAACAACATGCTCTTAACTTTATCATTTGAGTTAGCATTTGAATCTCAAAATCTTGCTTCATTTGTTGCACAGTTTCCAGACCTGTATTTCAAGAAGTCAGTGGGTCTCCCACTGTGCTCAGCTCCCTCCTACCTTCATTTTAAATTATAAAAGGAAGAAGGGAAAAAGAGAGAATGTCACGATTGTGGCTGTTTACAAGAGAAAAATATCATGCTGAACTCCATACAAAAAAAAGCCAAACCAACAAAACAGTACTTCCAAGCTTAGGAACCTCATTTCTTTCTGTATATAAACTACTCAATTGATTTTTATCTGAACTATGCAGGATTAATGTTATTATCTGGAGGTACCATGACAGCTGACTGAAGATGCTGACAGTGACAAATTTAAACTAACAATGAAAAGCAATTTTGTATCAAAGTTAGCATTAAGATTGTTTAAACGACCTGCCCCCTCTATCTCTTCTGTATTTCTGAATGCTAGAAACGGCCTGAAGTTACAGGCATCACTTACTGGCAATGCAGACTGACAGCCAGGAATGGCAGAAAAAAAAATATCCTGTGGAACTCACCTCATCAACAAAAAAGTATTAAATGCTTCTCGTACAGCACTATTAAAAATAGAACATTTAGAAGTTTCCAGCAAGCCCAAACAATTACCAACCTCCCATTTCTACTTAAATGCACAGATCACGATTTTTTTTTATGCTGCAAAGGATTTAATTATTCATAGACGACTCTTCTGAAAGCAACCTTAGGCATGGCATTTTAGTGCCACTTATGGAAAAGGTGAATGAAAAGAACTAGAGGTTCTTCCAGTCCAAGTGTTTTCTAAGCTAAATTGGGAATTCTCCATCTTATTTCAGCTTTCCAACACGTTTGTAAAAATAGCCTAAAAATTAATTTACAGTGGTCAGTGAAGTACTGCACCCACAGATCAACCACTAGTGAGTTACCCCTCACTTACAGATTTCAGCCAAAGCTATCCCTTAGCCCTTTTCCCCCTCACTCTGCTGCCTCTATCCATGTAGATGTGCACCTAATGATCAGAATCATTCCTCATCATACTGGCTCCTGAGCTTCTGTGCCTATGACCTCTCCTGCAGACACAGTGCTTCAAAGCTGTGAATACAGCATCTGCCCCTGGGGGTTTAAATCTATAATCTCACAGAACCTTATTAATGCCTTTCTCAAATTACAATGAAGCATGTGTGATGCAGGGTTTTGTCAAATTTATCTGTGAATGTTATTTATTTTAATGAAATAAGCTTTCAAAGATAAAATAGGAAAGTTAGTTAAGCTTCTAGAAACCCTGACATCAGAAAAGATATTTCCAAACAAATGAATCACTGTTAGAGAAGACTCTTTGATGCTTAGAGATTTGCCTTTAATGTAAATATTAGAAGCAGAAGCCCAGCAAGATCTTTTGTGTGTGTATGGTGTTTCATGAATCAATAAACGGAATAACAGACCTGAGAAACCACAAAAATAACACATTTTAAATAAATTCCCTCGTTGATGCTAGCTGGACTCCCATCGTAATGAACTCAGACCACGTAAGAGCTTTGCCTGATGGCTTTGTCAGGAACTCCCTCATTTCTTCCTCTTACATCTTCCTCTTGTTTCTCTTACTGCAGACATCCTTATTGCTACTCAACATCTAAAGGGCTGTATGCTAAATTTAAACTTAATGGAATCTAATTTAAAAGTTATTTTTTGAAATGTTCTTTTTAATTTCTAATAAAAATCCTGTATTTACTCAAATTCAGGTTTCATGCCTTCTGGATTTTTATATCCCCCCCCCCCCCTTAAAAAAAATACCCCCAAAAAAAAAAAAAAGACTCATTTTCAGGAATGCAGAGCCCATAATTTGCAACAGGCTCTGATCCTACAGAACACGATGAAGAAAATGAGCATTTAATGGTGCAAGGCCTACAGCACAAGGGGTGGTGGAGGGTCAGTTCTACTATGAAGCAATTTTTCACAACACTTACAGGTTGAAGCAGGTAAATCAGCGAGCACTCCTGGATAACTATCACTGGGAAAGGAGTGATATTTGTTGCATGAAAAAGCGTTTCCACTGATGCCATTGTCTGGTCAAAGCGTCCTCCAAGTCCGCCCAAAGTCACAATCACATCGATCTGAAAGACAGAACAAAAACAGTCACCAAGAAAACTTTTCAGGCATGATCTGTAGACCCTGAAAGCCAACAATAAAATCACTTTGGGGAAAAAAAGGAGAAAAAATTACTACTGACTACACAAAAGCAAATGTCAAATACAGTTATTTACTTCCATTAGCGATAAATACCATTATGTGATTTTCGAGGCTGAGTATTAAAGCTCAGTAAATTCATGGCCAACATGTGGTACTTTGTAAAGGACATAACTGTTCTCCCTAAAATACAGGCCAGTCTCTGCAGGTACTTACCTGTGTACTCTGAATATATACAGCCCAAGATATATCATTCCACATCTAAGCTCCTCAGCTAAGCGTGGTATATCTGAGCCTTAGTATCCCCAGATCTTAACATCATTTTAGTATTAACCTCATACTTTACAGAATGAATGAAGGAAATTTCAGGTTAGGGCTATTATTATATGTCATTCTTGTTCCTGCCACACAGTATGTTAACATACAGGCTGTCTCCAGTTGAGATTAAAAGCACTACTGAAGTAGGAGGTTCTACCCTAAGTGATTGAGACACCATCTCCCAGCTGTCAGGGCCAGGACCAGGACTGTGATCCTGTCCCAGTCCCAGATGTGCTGTCAGGGCCAGGACCAGAACCATTCTCCTGTCCCAGCCCCAGATGTGCAGAGAGTGCTGCCTGGCTGCTTGCAACGGGCGATGGTGTTGGGCTGCTCCATCAAGACTCTGAACACTATCTCCTATAAGCAGAAAGGGAGCTTTTAAAAGCCTTAGTTAAGAGCTTTTAGGTCCTCAGATAAAAGGTCACTGAGTGTGAAATATTATTATTATGACTTCCATAACATGGATTAGTTATGTTCAGTAATTGTATTTTAAAAAGCTACCACGGAGTAAGTCACACCTGGAGCCTAACACGTTGCAGCTCTAAAGCCTTTAGAAGCTGCCTTGACAATGGCCATCTGGTGAAGTTCCCAACTTTATAGGGCTCAAGTCTATGACCACTATGATTATGTGAAGTTTTACTCAACCCAGGAGCCACATAATGATCCTCTGTGTATCTGGAAAGATGTATTAATAGCATCAGCTTTTATTTTTACTACCAGGGCTAGGGCTTTACGATTCTGTTGAATATTCGTTTGCATGAAAATTAAGCTCATTTCCTTTTGGTGAAGAATTATACCATCTTTCTTACCACCATCAGCAAAATACTGGAAAAGCCAGAATGGATCAATGTAATGCATTATATTAGCAGCAAACACTGAAACAAAACCACTATTCTTACACTGCAGACAGCGTGTTTTTTCTGCACAAATTACAGATATCACAGACCCAACATACAACAAATAGCATATGAATGGTAGGAAAACCTACCCTTTAACAGGAGACAAAACAGCAAAAGGTAAAAAGCATGTGTTCCCAGCTCAGCCATAATACATTTTCCATTTTATTGATTCTAGTGTAGAAACAAACCGCTTTTGACTGGTGATGACTGTGATTTAAAAGGGTGGATCGATTCTCTGAAATGAATACTACTAAAAAGATCCACCAGCACCAGTTCCCCATCAGACAGCTAGCAGTAAAAATGCTCCCCACCCCAAGAGGGACCACAGCGAAAATCTGCTATGTTAACCTGAAACCACATTGGTGTTAAGGTGGCTCTGCAAAGGATCAGGATTCATATGTATGTTGTTTTTCATATGAACAGTGGGACTGCAGCTTAAATATTAGCCTAGCCTTCAAATAGCGGAGCAACTACTGTCGAGTTTCTTGGTGTCTATGTCTCACCATACGTGAACTTGTTTGTTTGAGCTTTTATCTTTCTGACAGTTTAAAAGGTAAGAAGGAAGGAAGCACAGAGTTCCCTCTGATTGTAAATAAAATGATGCAATAACATTCTGAATGTGTCTTCTTTCCCTTGTAAATGTCATTCTGTCAGAAAAATTGTGCTCTGCTATGCACACACATGTACTTACCATGAAGTACAGGACCTATCTCAAACAATGAAGTGCTCAGGGACTGCAGGTTTTTGTGACAGATTTTACCAGAGTACTGCAAGTTGAAGAAAAACATAACCAAAGATATTTCTGTATTTTAAGGTATGACAGAAGTGATCCTGAAGTCCTGCTCCCTGTTCAATAGCAACAGCACAGTCATCTTGTGGATTGGTTCCCAAACAGTAAGAAAAGACAACCAACCTAGCATGTATTAGATCTGTTGAAAAGGCTTTCATAAAACAGAGGTTTGGGGCTGTGGCTTGTTGAGAGAAGGCTAATAAAGTTATCTGGAAAGGGAATGCAGCTATAATCTTGGCTCTGCATGGATGACAAAAAATGAAAACCACAAGTATGTGACAGGTATGCAAACAAAGCCAGCTGGAGCAGGCAGGGAGAAGAGCTGCAGTTCTGTTATGACTGAAAGTCCTGCCTTTCACTGGACAGTCTCAGCAGCAGTGACAGGCATCCAAACATCATTAAGACTTTTAGAACCTCTATTTGAAGGTCTAAGCATACACACCTTGTTTGTTTAACAAAAACACAGAGAGGCCAAGTCCAACAAAAACCTCGAGAGCCTTTTCATCCTAAAGCTATCACCTCCATATAAAAAAACCACAACATAAAAATCACAAACTAACAGAACAATCAGCTCCTTCCCTGCAATCATGCTCCTCTAGCTCTGCCAAGCACTTAAGAAAATGGATGTGCCATGAAAGCACATACACGGCTCTTGGTCATTCCAGAACCTAAGACAAAGTGAATATCCGAGCACAGAGCATTTATATATTCCCATACTACAGAGAGGAAAGGCCATTTGTTTTTCTGCTATGATTTCCTGTATAACACAGGCTACAGAATTATACTGTTACTGTTAATCAGCCCAGCAGGTAGCACTGACTAATGCTGTATTTCAGCTGAAGCGTCCATGCTTCACTTAAATGTCCTGTCACCAGTCCCTTTACACAATTTGTTTTCACACAGTGTCATTCATTTCCTGAAAAAATGGATATAAAATCCTAAATAACTACAAAGAATAGCTTAGATCATTGCAGGCGCAGTGTACAGGGCAACGTATTCTCCTAGACTACCTGTAACCTGACAAACACAGTGCACAGCATCTTTAAATGCTATAGAGCTTTAATTTAGAAAGAGTTGAAGATCTAAGGGTGGGATGCAGCCATTTTTAAATTATACACTTACAATTAGGATCTCTTGAAAGAGTTTTAGGAGTCACTACCAAACAGCAGGGCAGTAAAAAGGAAACAAAGAAAAACTTTGTGTTGGCAATTCAGGGATGTATTTCTTTCTTCTCCCTTAAGCTGTAGTTTTTAGAGGGTGCAGTATCCAAGAGGAGCTGAGGCTGCCACCACATCATAATGAAGTTGCTCAGGTTCCTGCCTCCACTCTCCCTGAGATTATTGAAATGGGTAACTTGCTGTGAACTCTTTGCAGGCTTGCTAAACATTGTCCTTCTGTGAAATATCGAGGTTTGCAATATCCAGCCTTGTAATGGCAGCATCCACCATGACATCTAAAAGCACAGTCCAGGGCTCCAGCTGACAGCAAAGGATTCCCATTATTTTCAAAAGCATGCTCCTTATCTCTGATAAGGAATCCTCTCCCCAGGGTATGGGTATGGTTATGGACAGACAACTCAAAGGACTTTCTTCTTCAGGAGCTCCCTTTCAGCCAGACAACTTGCAAACAAACACGCCTGAGTCTCAGAGAGGTGGGTAGGTGGAAGGCAACATATTTACTGACAACAACCAGTAGCACTGGATGAACTTTGAGAAAGAATTCCCCTGAAGGAAAAAGGGAAGGCAAAAGTAATCAAGATGTCACAAAAGCCCTGGAGCCATGAATAAATCTCCCTCCCTCTGATACCATGGAGACTATCCACTGCTAATATCTAAGGTATTTCTCTGCCAATTACAGGACAGGTATTGTATCTGATTCAAACATAGCTTCCTTTTATCACCTTCTCACTTCACTGATACCTTTTCACCTTTCATAGACTTTCTTAAATTTCCTACCATTCAAAGGCCTATTCCCTTAAATTAAAATTCTGGAGGAAGATGAAATACAGAATAACATTATTGTAGTAGCATGCATAGTATGTAGAAGTATATTCTACGATCCTACGATACATATATATCAAAGTATATTATATCCTGAAAAGCAAACAATTAAGTAGTGCTGTGAATGATACATTTATTATTGCCTTATCACACTGACACTTTATCAATTCTGACCAGTTTACAAGAAAAGCATTTTTGTCTTCATAAGGCAATTATGTCTTCTCAGGATGTGGCTTGAAACTCCAGATACATCCTTTCTAATCTCTGCAGCAGCTTCAATTCTGAAGACTTTAAGACACAGCAAGTGCTCTCCTTGATAACAAATCAGCCAGAGTAGATTTCAGCTCATTCTCCCATAGCTGTATGGGAGCTCTTGTGCTGGCCAGATCACAGCCCTTTTTTTTTTTAATATCATCCCCAAAACTGCAATGTAAATTTAATGAACTATTAAAATCCCACAATCCAATGCTGACATACAGCAAGATAGGGTCCATTTTAGTTGATTACACTGGCTCTCTAGCTCAGGGTTTCACGTAAAAGGTATGGCTTTTATTTCCTATGGGAATGACATACCCAGCCACAGCAGCCACTGCACATTGCTCAGGTAGAATCCTCTTTACTCAAGGTGAAATTTGCTCATTACTTCAGCCACTTGACTCCCCAGAGGAACAAGAGTTTGAAGGCTCCCATCCTGTCTGTGCACCCGAGATCATAACCTTCAATCAGCTTCATCATCCTCTCACTGATTCCACTGATCTTTATATTATAACGTTCCAGCCCCTTCCCAAAGCATTTATTGCTTCTTATATTCATTTTCATGCAGTTTCACCCAACTGCTTTCTCTATTTGTAACCCTTTTTCTTTCAAATAAGAGGTTAATTCTTTCTGCTAGTGGTAATAAGCACACAGATTGCATGTGT